AATCTGTAAGCGCTGAAAACAAACTAATTGCTATTACAGTAGCTGCCCACTTCTAGGCATTGAGTTTCAAGGATTACGCTTCAGACAGAGCATATTGATTTTTTGTATCAATGAACAATGTATTTTTTTCACACGTTGCATACACAGGGATTTTTTTAAACAAGGGAACAGGGGCGCAGCTCCCTCATGCCATGGCCATGCGTCCCCTTACCCTGGGGGGGGGGGCAGATCTTCTGGCAACCATAAAATTCTGATTGACCAGGGATCACATGTGGTCACAGTCTTCAACAGTCTTCAACTGTGACCTGTATGATAGTAATTATGGCCCCAAGGAAGCCATAGAATGCTCCATTTTAACTTAGAATTATCAAAAACTCCACACCCTGGTAGGGAGAACCCTATCTCCTCCACTTGGTGGCGCCGCTGAATTGCAGTGCTCCCTCTTGCAGCTTTTTTCTAGAAAAACCCCTGATACAGTTGTGTCACATGGGACCAGCGTTGAAAATGCTGTGTTGTGATGACTGTTACCTTATTAAACAATCAAATTTAGATCGAATGACAATAGATGATTTTCTATTCACTAGCAGTGAATGGAAAAATCATCTATTTATTACAAATGCTTGCTGCAAAAATCAAATGATTTGATTTAGAAAATGAGTTCCTTTTTATAGCTCAAAACTGAAATGCCAATCTTTCAGAGGGGAATGTAGCATTGAGTAGCTATGTGTATTCATTTGTTACCCCCTGGTATGTTGTATTTGGGGCATGATTTCTTGACAATGTGAAATTTGAATAAATTTAGATTGAATGTTAAATTAGAAAAAAGCTTATTTTGATCAGTTTCACCTCTATTTATTAAATTCAATATTGAACAGGACTTAGAACTAAGAATAGAAGAGGAGACCAAACGAATGGATCAAAGATTGATCTTAGAGTTGGATCAGAGAGTCAGTGAACAGCAAGTGACACTGGAGAGAGCTGGAGTTGCTGGGTTCTATGTAACAAACAACCAACAAGAAGTGAGATTACAGATGCATATGCTAGATATGATAGTAAGACTAAGTAAAGTTGAGTTGCCAGACTTGTGATAGTCATGAAACTGCCGGTCTGCTTGCAGAATGCCGCTGACATGCTTTGTTTATTCCTGAAATATGTATTATACACATCATTGCTGCATTTTTTTTGAAAGATTCTATTTGTTTCAGTATATGCTGAATATTATGGTTTACTGAGATTGGTTCACTGCCTTGATGAAGTACTTACACTGCCTTGGTTTACTTTTAAAATTACGTTTTACTTAAAGTATTCTAAAAAGCATTTTCTATCCTTCGAAATTATATTTTCTTGTATCAGTTTGTGAATGACCTTATGATGTTTATTTACTTTTTTTTTTTACAATTTCAAAAGTATTCCATATATGAAGACAATGTATGATGGAAAAGTTAACTTGTATGATATTTCTGTATTCATGTATATACATAGAAAAAATCTTATGTATGATTTACCTTAACAGTAATAGTTTTCATTGATTGAATGCACACTAAAAATGCAATTTTGGTCATAACAAGTTGTATATTAATAAAACAGCACATAATAAATAGAATTTTTGTCAAAAGAAGTTGTTTATTAATGATAAAGCATATAATACATACAATTTTGGTCAAAAGAATTTGCTTATTACCGGTAATAATACAGCATACAATAACTGCAATGTTGGATAATATTTCTGCTGATAAAGTAAATACATTACTCAGACCTGTTGTTGTTTTCAAAAGTGTCAAGGTTAGCAAATGCTGAGTATTCTAAGTATCATTTATGGTTTAAGTTGGTTCTTGTATATATTGTTTATTGGTTAATTATACTGAAGTTAAATTATTAAATTGAAGCAGAAACATAGGCAGCCACTCACAGTTGTAGTTGCAGTTGTGATGAATATCTTAAAGCTAGAGGATCTTCACCTGCGCACTCGTGGGAATTGAGTCCCAAGAGATGATAACAACACGCACTAAACCGCAAAGACTCATGGGTAGATGCTTGTTTTTAAACAATGACACGCTATGGCCATCTGACACATGCGCAGACACAGGCTTTAAATAATAACATGTTTAATAATAACAATGTTTGTGAGGGCAATATCACGATTTGTTGCCTGCCCAAGGGATGGTGGGTGGTCAACACCATAGTATTTATGATGCCAGAGCGGAAGTGACTTTTATGACATACCACACCTTCTATCTGACATTCACAAATCACTCAGCTTAGAGTGTCGGCGTGGCACATGTAGAACCTTCACAGCGTAGTCAGGTCCTAACTCACAGTGCAGAACGCGTTGCAGCAAACCCGGATTCTACATTCAGTGTCATGTGACTGAGTCTCAACCAATCACAGATGAGGTGTGATAAACATTTATGATAATAA